AGATTGTCAAGAAGGTTTAACATCTAATGTAATTATATACAATTAATCCTTGTAATCAATTTGATGAATATTTACAAGCCTCGAGAAACAAGCCCGTGACAATTCTGCTTCTCTGTTACCAAGTTGGTTAAAATAAAACCAGAAATTACCTCAAAATAGTTTTGTGGAAAAAACGTAATTTTATTTGAAATATATAGCCTACTGTCAGAGTACTGCATAGTTGGCAAACATCCGAGTAAAGCTAAAATGCGGTCACAAAAAATGTCCGATAAGACTGATATGCCAGAACTGTCAGATATATCTGAAGATGAAATGGAACAAAATGAACAAGACGTTGGTTGTTCCCTAGATAAAATGTTAGATGAGGACTTCGAGTTAGAAAAAGATTGATTGTTGGTTGCTTAACGTCCAGTGGCAAATATTTCATGCATATTCAGGACGAGAACAAATTAACAATAAATACAATAGGTAGATTCTGTAAAAGGGGCGTCCGGGATTAAGGTCGGAGAAATTTAGACTGCCACGGGAAATGAGGGTATATTGGATAGGGACAGAAATTTAGCCTTGCAACAGGTCACCTACGGACCCCTCAAAGAGTTGTTGCAAGGGTTCTTAACGTGCAAAGAGCGTGGCACTCTCTTTACACGAGGCATCGGATTTAACGTCCCCATTCTGACCGGACGTGGCTGCAAATTTGTACATCCCGCACAGCCCACTTTAGCAAGGGTTTTACTGCCGGTCGGAAGAAGACCAATGGTGAATATACTTCTATTCCCCAGTTACCCTTGGGGGTGTTAGAAAAAGAATATGAGAACAAAAGTTTGGTCCTGAAATTGATGTTGCTATGGCAAAAAAAGCTGAAACGGATATTAAGACACCCTTGAAAGACGAAGAGTATCAAAAATTAACAGGGACACACATGGTGCCTGAAAATTGCAAAAGGTATATTTTCAGATATAAATATTGTACTGCAGTACTGAGTAGATGTAAGATAAAATTGAAAGTACAAAATTTTGCAAAAATGTGGATCTATATATTGAAAGATAATGGTTTTGAGACAAACGGTTATCTTAATATTATTATTATGATTAAATAGTCAGGCATCTATGAATGCTTTTTTGATTTTTTAGAGATAATTGTTGAAGGCATTAAAGACAAAACGAGAAGGAGATGTGACGGTGCAAAAGGTCACTCAAGCATGCAGTTCAGCTTTAGTTATAGTGTTGAAAGCCCTGAATATTATAAAACAAAAGGGGACATGGGTGAAACAAAAGCTATATTAAAGGCCTTGTTTAAAGTACTGACACATGACATATGTACTGCCAACAGAAAACGGAAGCAAATGATCAGACCTATCGTCCCAGCCAAATACAGGAAATAGTGAGTATGAATGCTAGGTAAATTGAAAGGCCATACACAGAGATTATCATGCTAATTAATGATATTGCAAGCCACTGAAAATGCAGCAAATATATTACAGTCAGCAGGAGAAGCCAAGGACCAGTCAATAACACCATGTTTTGTAGAAACCATGAAAGATGCTATAGATTGCAGTCAAAATATGAAAGAAGATTATATTGAAACAAAGTCTGCAAACTGCAGAAAAATCAATTGCATTATCTGAATATTTTTTACAACATAAGAAGTTGTTGTCTGGCTACACTAATTCTGGGTTTTCAGAGCCAATGATGCAAACATCTCAGCTTGTCCGAAAAATTTGCTATACCCTGGTTGTTTAGTACCTTGCAGAGCTATAACTAACAGCACCAGGTATACCGCGGAACAGGTAAAAGCCGAAATGAAGTTGGTATGTGAATTAGGACTTGGAGAAACAAAGCATAAAAAACCACAGGGTGGATGTCGTTTGATGTTCATATTAAACACAATTTATACTAACAATCTGTCTTTAGAAGAAACTGTTGATACTGTAAATTCAGAAATTATTGCGATGTTTTTATTATTGCGAAAAATGCGACAGGGTTATAATCGCAATAATTTAAACTCGCATTTTGAAATTTTATATACGAATTAAACAGGATTTTTCTCAATATCGCAAAAATTCAAATCGCATTTTAGTCTAAAATGACAAAATCGCAATAATATATGCGCGCAATAATTTCTGAATTTACAGTATACCAAAGTAGACTTTCCAAAATTGGCGTGGGTTTTGAGGATAACAAGAGTGAAAATATGCCACCATTGAATAAGTTGAAAACAACCAGTAACAACGATGTTTCTGTTTAGACTGATTGACATTTATGTTATTTTGATGACTTTCTTGTTTGAGTTATTATGATTATTGATTAATAATTTATAATATTTTTCTGTTAAATCTAAATTATAAACTTGTATATTCTTATTGGTTACATTTTTGAATAATGAACGATACAGGATATTAGTACAGCTGTTACAATTAAAAGGTTTAGAATATAAGGAAAATGTGTTATTAATTTGTTGTTAAACTGATTGATTGATTGTTGGTTGCTCAACGTCCAGTGGCAAATATTTCATGCATATTCAGGACGAGAACAAATTAACAATAAATACAATAGGTAGGTTCTGTAATAGGGGCTTCCGGGATTAAGGTCGGAGAAATTTAAACTGCCACGGGAAATGAGAGTATGTTGGATAGGGACAGAAATT